GACCCCAGAAACCCCTTGGTGGCTGCCTCCACCATCTGACGAAGCCTCCATTGAGACCGGTCCTTCGGTAGCTCTCGCTGCCATGCCAAAATTGCCTTCCCCTCGCTTGGCTATCCCTCCATCCACTTGCCCCGAATCTAGCGCAGTGACCTCGTGACGGACACCACGGTTAACCGCTGGGCAGCATCCTAATGTCCATCATCTCCCGAGAGCGTTGGGAGAATTGGCGCCTGTGGCTGAAAACTCTCCTGGTCCGGTGTCTAACTCGGTGTCTGTCATCTTTAGACCTTGGGCCTAGGTTAGCTAACCTGGGCTTGATTTGTACATCGTCGGGGCGACGATGAAAATGGGGGGATAGATTGTGGCAGGATGAGCAGTAAATAGTGTTGTAAGGCATATTATTTTTAGCCTATCACCGCCAGGGGGCACCCTATAAAGGAGCAGAGGCTTCTAGCTGGCGGCCTCTTGTTCGCTGGTGCCCAGACCAACCCACTTCCGTTCTTGCCGTGTTTTGCTTCCGCCACCGGCGTAGGTATGTTGTAGGAGAATAGTTGGCTTCAGGTAAAGTTTCGCAATTTATCATACTTACGTGTAGTCACGTTTTGTTTTGTATAGCGGAGAGTCTTCCTGGCGATGCCCGTCAAGTAGCCGTAACATAGAGAGCATGAAACTCTCTCCTCTCTGCCTGATCGGTGGGTACGGCGATTTGTTCAGTCCATTCACCACACCTTTCCTGAACATTAATATTATACTTGTGTGTTTATTGTTAATCTAGGGCCAAGCTAAGGCTTTAAAGAACCGCTGCTGTTTTGCTGCACCGAAAAGAGACGGGTTTCTGGCGCAGGGTCATCACCCGTACTGCTGATCCTGTGTGCTGCTAAGTGCTAGTTGATTGTCTGCGTCTGGCTATCGTGTCTGGTCCGGTTTTGGCATTGCCTACGGCAGTATCATCACCTGCCCTACCGATCCTGTGCTGCTGGACACTACTTAGATTGTTCGCTTTTGGCTACTGTGGTTGGGCCGGTTTAGCGTGGCTTACTCTGTACTAGAGGTCCGCTCCCCTAGTGGTATTTTAGTGACTGGACTGCTGGGCTAACTCCTTCTGTTTAGTTATTCTTTCCTTCACCAATTTCAACTATTTTGTTTACTTTGTTCCTTTTCATTAATAGTTTATTTTTTGTTTATTCCTATTTTCTTTTGTTATTTTCTTTATTTTCTTTTGGCTTATTTTATAATTAATTAGTGTCGATATATCTTTGGTCAAATCATTATTTGTTTATATGATAATGGTTTTGGTTTAGGTTTTCTTTCTTTGCTTTTTGCATAGTTTTGTTTATGCCGCATGATTGCGGCTTATTTTGGTTTATTTCATTTTGAGTCATTCTGTGTTTTTGTCCCCCACTTATTGTGTTTTCCCTTGTTTTCCTGTTTTAGTTACTGAGAGCTGAAGGTGGTGGTATTGGTGTCCGAGGTGGTGGCTTCCCCCTTTCCGTGTGCTGTGCTTCCCCCGGGTTTTTGGATCTTTTCTCCGTGTGATTGTGTGAGTGTGGAACACGTGTGACCGGGGTGACTTAAGTTTGTTTTTGTGGGATCCCTCTACTCATTCGTTGACCCTCTCCCCCACTGGTAAGCCTCAGCCCCCTTGTTCGTTCTCTCTTTTGGATATAGCCCTGTGTGACTGTTTTTATAAATTGTATTTTTACTATTGTATACAAATAAATTGTTCTATTTTTGATAATTGAACCACGTCTCTTGTTCCATGAGTAACCGAACCTGTGTGTCCTAGTGACTTAAAACTTGTCACATTTCCCTGGGTGAAATTCCCGGGGTGGCGTTGTCGGACTTAGTGGTTTAACCAAACTGTTAAATTAATATATTTATTCTGCGGCCACTGCTACAAACTGGCGTTGTCGGACTTAGTGGTTTAACCAAACTGTTAATTAATATATTTATTCTGCGGCCACTGCTACACTATGTTTTTAAAATGTAATTTTCTTAAATGTTTTTATGTGAGGGACTGCGGAGGGAAATGAGCTCAAAGGTAAATCTGGCACTGTTACGCTTGACACATGTTAATGTTTTAAGTGTTCATTACTGTGCATTGTCCCCGCCAAATAAACGATTAAGTAAATAAATAACGCACGCACGCATTAACCTGTTAAGCCCTGAGCCTGTTTTTCAGGTCTCAGGATCGAAAATGACATTCCCAGAACAAATGACTATATCTTCACTTCTAAAAGGGGAAAATTAATAATCTTTCTTCTCAAAGCAATGATAAACCTGTGAGTTGGATGTAGATAAGTCAGAATCAATTTATTTTAAAGTAAATTCAGATTGAACATAGTAAAAAAATGTAAATTATAGTGTCCGTCCAAAGAAAAAACATTATTTATAGTGAAAACCACCTTGAATGATGAGATCTGAGACTAAAAGCTGAAAGTGGTCATCAGTAATTGTATATGTTCAAATGTCTACCGTGAAGGATATCATAAAGCCTTAATGCAATCGAATGTAAAACTAAAAAAGTTATGATTGATGAAAGTAGTAAATCGGTCAGATTTGACCCGAAGACAACAGGAGGGTTAAACAGTGTCCCAGCTCTCAGTCAATCAGATTCATTTTACAATACAATTGCGGAATGCTTTGGTGCAAAAAATGTGAGCTTCTCTCACCCAAAGCAGAAATGAAACTTTGAAGAAACGGTACAGCTCAAATGGGTGCTTGGATTTGTACCATTTTGATTTCTAAGGATAGAGGGTGTCGTTTTTCTCATACTGATATTCTGAACAATCTGTGCTATTGTATTTGCTATAGAGTGTCTCTACTGTAGGCTATTTTTATTATATGTACAGCACTTTGGCTCCACCAAAAATCGTTTATAAATGTGCTATATAAATAAAACTTGATTTGATTTCTCTGCTTATGAGCTCATGAAACCAGACCAGTGCATTTCATATCACTTTTTTAAGTATTCCTGTTTCAGGTCACCTGTCTCATATAGAAGTCAATGCTCCTCTGACTCTGCTATCATAACTCAGGTTTGATGATATGCTGTTAAGTTTACTGGGATAGAACCAATGAGCTTCAGTATTGACATTAAAGAGACATAATGATGCAGGCTGGATAAGCACCATCACGAGGAGCAAATGCAATTCACTTGGTGGCCTTCTCCTGAAACGTACCTTTACTTCCTTTGCATATACACAGATGTGACTGGCTGTACAGTATTTGATCACATGAACTTCAGAAAAAAGTGCAAGCCTAGGGCTATCAAGGTCGCTCATAATTAATAGCCTATATTGTTCCATAAATGTCTTGGCACAGTTCCATCCTGTACTTTACTGACCATTTTGAAAAAGCCTGTGACAAGTAAAAACTTTGAATCTTATTATATTTAAAACGTTATTTTAAAATGTTCCCATAATTAATGCAAATACAGATTACATTTCAGTTTGATTTCATTATTAAATTGTAATATTGGCATCTGGGGACTTCCGCACAAACTACTATGACCCTCACAGCAGAAACCAAACTATGCTAATACGCTAAACAGAATAGGGAGTCTGTAAAAAAACAGAAGTACCCTTCAAAACGTATTCACATCTCTCCTCTTCATATACAAGAAGGTGTTTAAATAATATTGCATCAAAGACTATGACAAATATAGGTGTCTCATTACTATTACATGTGTTAGTATTTTGAAAAACACAACCACACCCAGTCACAACATGGATTCAATGGTGCACCCTCATTGATCCTGTGATCGCTTATCCTGTGTGTGTGTGTGTGTGTGTGTGTGTGTGTGTGTGTGTGTGTGTGTGTGTGTTTGTGTTTGTGATGAAACTGTATCAATGGAGTGTTCAATGTGACTGAAAAGCCAGCAGCCCTCACACACACATCCAGCAACAGCTCCAACTCTTCTCACAAAGATAAAAGTGTGTGTATGAGTGTCAGATGAACTGACATGCATAGGTACAGTGTTTGTGGACACTGAACACAGTGGACAGTGTCTCTTTCACAACACACATTATCAGTGATAGATTCTTACAACTGCAGTCAGTGATATTTGAGTGGCTCTGAGTAAAAACAGTAAGATAGCAGCCAGTGTTAGCAGGTGCTGAACATCAATATCAGTCACTCATCTGTCAGCTGATGGCTTCTAAACACAGGCAGCGTGGCTCTGTGTGTTCACAGGGAACGTTCTGCACCAAGGATACAAAGAGCCGACCCTGATGCCTCCAGCTGTGTGTGTGTGTGTGTGTGTGTGTGTGTGTGTGTGTGTGTGTGTGTGTGTGTGTGTGTGTGTGTGTGTGTGTGTGTGTGTGTGTGTGTGTGTGTGTGTGTGGTGAGCAGACAAGTGATCGTCCTGCAGACAAACCAGCGATGATGTGTCCTTTTGATTAATGATGTCCATACAAATGTGCAGCAGATGATCGTGAATGTGTTTCTGTGTGTTGTTCAGGTTCACATTGTTGAACGTCAAATATGTCACACACACACACACACACACACACACACACACACACACACACACACACACACACACACAATTACCTCCAAACACACATCACAGTGACATGAGGACACACATTCACACACAACCACCTGTCTCTCCAGCCTCTCGCCTGAAGAGAAGTGAGTCATGAAATCAGTCAGGCAGTCAGCCCCTCTCCCTGCCTGCCTCTTCTTCTTCTATTCCACTTATGTCACTAAAGCCTTCACGCTCCTCCTTTTGTTCTCACGTATTTTTGAGGAAGTCTGAAAATGAGCCCATTCTTTAAAGGCAACATTCACAATGACACCGACACTTGTAGTTCTATTTCGTCTCTACTGACCGCCAGAGGTGGTGCTTGAGCACTGGATATGTCATCGCGCACATGCGCAGCTCGAGTACCAATAACAACAAAGTCACCTGTGACCCACGTGACACCGGCTATTATATACCGGTGTCGTCAGAGGATCTGTTCCTTTCATCTTCTCGCTGCACGAGAGTACCGTGGCTACATTCTTGTAGCCTGCAGCGTTCGGTTGGAACGTTTGATCTAAGGGTTTCTCTGCAAACAGCTGGCTGTATGCAGCTTTGCGACTGATCCAGTCGGAGCCGCGGGCTTACTCGTTCTCCAGGAGCTGTGGCCGCTGCGCAGAAACTTCGACGGACACGTTGGTGTCAGCTTGGTCGGTGATTGCAGTGTTTCCGCTCCCTCTCCCAGCTAAGTTGTCCTGATTACTGTCTTGTTGCTGTTTGGCTTAAACTTTTTGGTGATGGCAGCGTTTCCGCTCCCTCTCCCAGGAGTTGCCCTTGTTATGCTCTTTTGTACTTTTTCTTGTTTAGCTAGTTAGCAGTAGTAGTAGTAGTAGTAGTAGGCTCAGCCTAACTATGTCCTGCCTGTGCAGCCACTTTGGCTGACGCTTGGGATAAGCATCGGAGTTACCCGTGCTGTTTTTTTCTTGAGAAGCCATTTTTCTGGTCTTAGCTTTGTGTTTTCGTTATTAACTCAACCAGTGAAAGCAGTGTTCTCGCCCCCGCTCCTGGTATACGTGTTGCTTGATTCTAGCAGCAGGCGCCTGGCTAAGCTGTCCTGTTAAACTTCTTTATTTAATCCAGCTAGGTCAGGGGTGCCCAACCAGTCGATCGCGAGATGTGTCTAAAAATAGAACAACAATATTCTGTTTTATCGTTAATGTCCTATAACATAATCTTCCTGTGCCAGAATAATGCACTTGAACGCATCAAAGCTTTGTGATTGGCCGGCGTGACCCCATGTGTCGGGGCGTGGCTGGTGGGCAGTGGGCACTAGTTCGCTGACGTTGTCCGTGTCAACAGGAGTGACAGTCCGCACACACACAAGACCGCAATTATGGTAGAAGCAAAAAAGCCCAAAATATATAATTTTCACTCCGAGTGGGAGGATGATTATTTTTGTATCTATTCCAATTCAATCTCATCTGCAATGCGAGCGTGGCTTTATCGAAGAAGGGTCATTTAGGAGCAGCATTTCAAAACAGTACACAAACGCTACGAGATGGAATTCCCTCCTTATTCTGCCCTGGGGGCCTGAAAGGACAGCTAGAGCTACTTACGTGTGATATGAATGATAATGGGACACATCGACGTCTGCACTCACAGTGCTGCGGACTGTAGACTAGGTAATGTTACTTTGATCCGGTTACTTATGTTGTGGCAGATATTTAATTAAGCTTTCTTAACATAGCCTAATAGTTATAATAGTCAGATTGCTCTGAAGATGGGAGGTGATGTTCTATTCATTTTCACGTTCACACAGTCGGTGATTTTGGCCGGCCGTCTTTCATGCAACGGCAGTTTAAACTGTATTTCCTCCGCACACTGAGCTCTGATTGGTCAGCAGGCGTGGTGCTTTCGCTGAGTTGATCTCTTATCCTGGAACCTATCCTGCTCCGGAGCACAGACTAGGTTCCAGGATAAGTCACCATGGAGATCTAGCCCGCTAAAAAGTGAACCAGCTTCGTAGTACCGGAAATCTCAGAAGTTATCTTGCTAAACGAAAATCCTGCTTCGTAGTATACCCCCCAGGTTAGCCGCTAAGCATAAGTTACCATGGAGATCTAGCCGGCTAAAAAGAGAACCAGCTTCGTAGGACCGGAAAGCCGGAGTTTTCCCTGAATTTAGCCGGCTAAGCGAAAATCCTGCTTCGTAGTATACCCCCCAGATCTTCATTCAGAAAACAAGCATTCTAAAAGGTTTTTCGCCTGCCGTCTGGTCTGCAGATTTGTCAAAGCATTAATTCATGGTTTTTACTAACCGGTATCAGTATGTTGTTACTTCGGCATCATTTAGAAACGTGTATTACAATTTAATCATGGTAAAATATGTTCATTTTGTTGAAGTTGTAGCTACCGAGCCAGCGCGTCTTGTTTGAATGATGCGAGTAAACACAGCTGGCAGCCGCGGTGAAACCATGGGTGAAACTTGAGCGTTTTTAGAGTGATGAGAGCGAACAACGATCCCTGATAGATCTCACGAGAATGTGTATAAATATAGATACATTTTCATAACAAAACAATGGGGTTGCTAAGCCGTTGCTAGGCCAATTGTTGGAGTTGCTATAGCAACTCCAAGCTACCCCCTGGCGCCGCCCCTGAAGAAGGGTAATTTAGGAGCGGCATTTCAAAACAGTGCACAAACGCTACGAGACGGAATTCCCTCCTAATTCTGCCCTACGCTCCAAAAGGGGAGGGGCCTGAAAGGACAGCTAAATGCACAGCAGTCCATTTTCACCAGGCCCAACAACAAGAGCAAGGCTGCTACCAGAGCATCTTATCGTGTCAGTCACGTTCTTGAGAAACACATGAAGTCTTTCAAAGACGGCGAAGTTGTGAAAGAAGCATTCCTGGAGGCTGCCGATGCGCTTTTGGGGGACAGTAAAAATAACAGTAGCATTTCAACAGGTTTTTGATATAATAAAAACTCAAGTCAGATACCGTTATTAATCAGCTGTAAGTTTTAGTTTGAACTTATTCATTATAATTATTGTACACAATGGTATAAGAATGCAAGGGTGCATTCACACCTAATAGTCCGCTTCTCTGGTGCGCACCAGACCACAGTTTGTTACATTGTTTCATTTCTCAGAAGGTTCGGTTTGCGTTCACACGGGCAAAACTCAAACGGACTATAAACTTTAAACACAAGTCATGTGCACGGAAATGCTGTTCAACCATTGGTCAGACATTAAGGGGGTAAAAACGCAAATCCCGGCAATTTCTACCGGAGCCTCTGCCATGGAGCATCGGCACTTTCGGCAGGTTATTAACGTCCGTTAAAAACATTGTAACACATATAATGAGAGACGTTCTGCAGTAAGGAGGGGCGTTTCACAGACGACAGGTGGCTCTGACTTTTATGTATAGTTTTTAGTTTGATAGTTGTTTTTACTTTACAATACACTGTTCAACACTTCATTCTGCTACTCTTTAACTAAACAACCGCGGATGTCTTGAAAGACTCTTTCGCTAAAGATTTTTGAAGACATCCGCGTTCTTGTGACACGTAAATACTACGCTTCCTATGTGTTGGTGCGGACTGCGTTGACACACCAGCAATGAACCGCTCCAGAGTTCGCAAGCAAGCGCTCCGAGACCACCTATTTTAGCGGACCAGAGTCCGGTTGTTTAGTTCACTTAAGAGGTCTCGGACTATGTTCACACCGACCCAAATGAACCGCACCAAGCGGCTAAACGCACCAGGGTTCGATTCAACCGGACTATAAAAGGCTGGTGTGAATGCACCCTCTCTTAAGCCCCAAGCCTGTTTTCAGGTCTCAGGCTCGAAAATGACATTCCCAGAACAAATCACCATATCTTCCCTTCTAAAAGGGTTAAATTAATAATCTTTTTTCTCAAAGTAATGATAAACCTGTGAGTTGGATGTAGAAAAGTCAGAATCAATATAGATGTTTTTTATTTTAAAGAAAATTCAGATTGAACATGGTAAAAAACTGTAAATTATAGTGTCTGTCCAAAAGATATTTTGTACTTATAGTGAAAACTAACCTTGGATGATGGGTTAGTAGACTAAAAGCTTTAGGAATCAAAAGTACAACATATAATAAGTACCCTGTATCAAGATTGATGCAAAACAAGTGATATTTGACCTTTTTAGACAGATTTAGCAAAAACCTTCTGGGGCCATTTGGGTGGATTTTCCATATCTCTGGCCCCTCTTGCTCGATGTTGACATGTGACATCTCTTTCTGACCGTTAGAGCCAATAGAATCAAAGGGAAATCCTCCCGCACACACTCATGTTAAAAAAAAAAACATGCGCATGCAATCTTGCTACAGAGCGTAGGATCTGCTCTGATATTTGAAAACGGAATTGCAGTTTTATTGCTTATAGATTATCAGAACATTTCAAAGGGGGCACAGTCACATTGGATATTAACCTATGGATTAACTACAGCATCATTTTTATCGTTTTAATGCCATTGAAGACCAGTTTTGACCAGACAAAACCGAGGTAAGCCATGTTAGCGTTTTAGGCTACCGAGCGCCACATGTTTTGATGTACGTTTTTGTTGATAACGTCGCAAGTTTGTATCTTTCAGTGTTGAGGTGGGCACCGTTAGATTCTGTGTCTTTACGATCATAAACGATGTGTTGGATGTGCAGCTAGGATAAGTAAGAAGGGAACGAAGGCCTTAGCCCTTGCCCAAGAGTTGTCCGTCCTCTTGGCCAAGGGTGCAATCGAGCCAGTAGACCCTCTGCTTCAGTCCGGGGGGGTTCTACTCGGCGTACTTTCTTGTGAGCAAGAAAGTCGGCGGATTCCGTCCAGTCTTGGACCTCAGAAGAATCAACAGATTCCTGAAGGTGCTGCCCTTCCATATGCTAACCACAGCAGACACCCTTTGTGTTGTCGCAGAGGGGGAGTGGTTTGCAACCGTGGACTTGAGGGACGTCTACTTCCTTCTCAGTTCCGGGTGCTTCCCTTTGGTCTCTCCCTCTCTCTAAGGGTGTTCACCAGGGTCGTGGTGGCAGCTCTCGCACCCCTGCAGGCGCAGGGCGTGAAGGTCCTGCCGTATCTAGACGACTGGCTGGTCTGCGCGCCGTCCCGGCCACAAGTGTTCCAGGATACGGCGCGCCTCTTATTTCACGTAGCCCGGTTGGGCCTAACAGTAAACACCAGGAAGAGTTGCCTGGACCCCTCCCAACAGGTCACTTACTGGGGATGGTCCTAGATTCAGTCGCCATGAGGGCCTACCTGACACCTCGTCGTGCGGACGACATTTCCCACCTTCTTCCCATCTTCAGTCTGGGCAAGAAGGTGCCTTACATTCAGTTCCTCTGACTCTTGGGCAGACTGACGGCTGACTGCCCTTAGGCCTGCTGTCTCTGCGCCCCATGCAGAGGTGGCTGAACAGCCTTCATTTGGACACCAAGTGGCACAGGAGAGTCACGGTGTCTCAGCGGTGCCTCCACTCTCTGTCCCACTGGAGGGACAGGGCCTATCTTTCGATGGGCGTGCCGATGGGTGCCGCCCATCCCACCGGGAGACTGTCACTGTGGATGCATGTCTCTCAGGGTGGGGTGCGGTGTGGCAGGGCAGGACTGCTCAGGGTCAGTGGTCTGCCCAGGAAGGTGCACGCAATATCAACGTGCTAGAGCTTCGGGCTGTGCTGCTTGCACTCATGCACTTTT